GCAATCCTACCATGACTTTAGAAGGAGGTGTGTGAATATTGGTTACTAGTAAAATAATGATCAGCATTCTAGGCCACAATTCAGAGTATTTGTTACATTACTTCATCCACACACTAATGGGTTCTCATCAACTGAGTCTTCTTAGTCTTAAAGGAATTTATATTCTGGATAAGAAAGTAATTCTCCTTAGGGGAGAAACCACAGGTATGGGCATAGAATTTGAGTTGGGCCTCTAAAGCAAAAGCAGTAATCTCAGGATGGGGACTGGGATGGGGAATGCGCTAGGTGAGTTGAGCAGAAAAAGCAGAGGCCTAGTTCCATGAAATGTCTTGGATTAGAAAGAAGGAAATAGGAAGTTCAATGTGACTATTATGTAAGTATCAGGAACACTGGGAGAGTTTGACTACCTATTTTTCTCCTCCTCAAATCTCTATATTCACATTCATGCATACAGTTCCACTTCCCAACTGCTATGTGACTGGGATCCTGCAGTTCTCACCTCGCATTTCTTTACCAGATCTCTTAGCCACTGGCTATGCCACAGAGAAGGAATTAGAGTGAGACCAATGAGGAATTTAGGGTATAACATTTAAAGAATCACTTCCTTCTGATGCTGACCTTGCCATAGCTAAAACCAGGGCTAAATGCCTCCTTAAAAATGAAGCATTAGGCCGAGAGTGGTGGCACATACCTGTAATCCCAGCACTTTGGTGGTAGAGGCATGTGGATCACCTGAGATAAGGAGTTCGAGACCAGCCTGGCCAACATGGTGAAAGCCCAACTCTAATAAAAAAAATACAAAAATTAGCCAGATGTAATGGCATGCATCTGTAATCCCAGCTACTCAGGACGTTGAGGCAGGAGAATCACTTGAATCCAGGAGGCAGAGGTTGCAGTAAGCTGAGATTGTGCCACTGCACTCCAGCCTGGGCAACAAAGTGAGACTCAGTCTCAATAAAAAAATAAAAAATAAAAAAAATAAGGAAGCATCAAAGCCAGATGGCATATTTTTTTAAAAGGTTTCTATTTTTTTTTTTAAGCATAAAATAGACAAAATAAAATCTATCCAGGACTACTGCAAATCTATAGATCAATTACTCGGGTGCTGATTTTTCTTTGCTGGCACTCCCACACACCTTACACTTCTCTATATTTGTCTGTCCTGCCTTGTGTTCCTACAGTCAGCCCATTCTTCCATACTTACAGTTCCCAGTGGGCTCTACTGGGACTACTGCCTCCCTGAAATCCTCTGGCCCTAAGGATAGCAGAGACTTCTCACTGTTGCTAGTATCTGAATGCCTCACTCTCTTTTTTTCCTCCTAAACCTATCCACACTTCTATAAAAATTTCTTCGTTAGTTTCGCCTAAACCTGGGGTGAATTCTCTTTTCTTCTGAGACTCTGACTGGTACACCAGTACACCCTACTTAAACCCAAGAATTGATGAATTGGCATGTGTTCCATAGGTGAAAGCTAAGGGAAACCACAGATTCCTGTTGCATTTATCCATCATGACTCATGTAGACCTTTGCCTGAGGTGAGTTTCCAGGTCAATCACATTTGTATCATCCATTATTATGATGTTCTGCTTATCTCAATGTAATGAAATATGGAGTGTGTACTTCCAGATTATGGAAGATGGCTTATCTTTTACCCTTTAATATAGCACACAAACCCATAATTTAAAATAATAATAAAATATCAAAAACTTATACTTTCCTCAACACAACCCTGAAGTTTCTCCTGAGAGGCATAAAAGCTGTTTTTCTGGTGATAAAAACCCACTGAAAAGTTTATAAAGAAAACAAACTCCCCTCGGGCAGTAATCAGTGGTCAGACAGTATCTGACAAGCACAGCAGAATTTTAGCTATTGCTCTAGGGCTGTTCTTAGTTCTGGTCAATTCCTTTGCTAACTGGAATATGAAAGGAACCCAAGTGAAAATAGTCCGGGGCGGGGGGGGAAATCAGAAAGATAATGTAAAACAAATTCATTATATCTGGAATATTAAGATATTTTTCTTAGAAGATTTTCTTATTTTAGCCCCAGAGCACTTGAAAGTTCTAAAGATTCATTTTATGTAAAATCAAAATGATATTTTACATAACACTTATTTTAAGTTTAAAGGCTTCCTACAATGAAACTGGCACTATCATGAGCTTAAAGCAGCAGAATAAACTGAAGAGGCCTCATAAAAATATATAGGCAGCAGTCAACTGATGCAAGGGAGTAAGCTTCATGGCATGAGACCTCTGATTTGCGTTAACACCTAAATTTCTCCTGCCTCATTCTGGAATTTTCATGCAGTAGTAGTGTTTCTTCCTAGACTTTTTTCTTTTTTCTCAAAAAGGAATTGCAGTCCTATTTCCTGACTAATTAGAATGGTTTATAATTCGGTTTTGGCCTGCAGGTAGGGATTAATTTCTGTAAGAGGTGTGGGAAATTCAGTAGCTTCCTTTAGCAAGGGTATTCATGCAAACTTTGTGTTTATTTATTTAATTATTTTTATTCTGAGTTTCATTGAATAGGAAGGTTTATTTTCTACAGATTTAATTTTGATGTCAAGGTTAAAGTCTCAAACTCATTGTCTTTTGTTTATGGTCGCATTCACTCTCTTCCACACACTAACCTCCAGGTGTAAAGTAGCCATTGCATGCCTCAAAATTAAGGATCTGCCGATTTTCACATCTTCTACAAAGGCATGTAACTTGGCTAAACCCTGTATTCCCCACCACCATTAATCAATTTTACAAATGCACTGGACTCCAGAGACTTGGCTAGATGCTGCATGATATGAAAATACAAGGGCAAAGTCTTTATAGGAGTTTACAGGATACCTGAAAACTATACCTTGTCAATAAACAACATCAGCTTAAAATAGGCATCAGCATCATTGTCCTAGGAATGCAGGATTAGATGTCATATGAGCTCTCTATATAGCAAATATATATTTATAGAAAAAAATTGTTCCAATTATGCCCCTGCCACCAACCAGAGATATGATTTAGGGAAGTCTTTTTCCTGATTAATACAAGTAACATTATTTCTGTGGTTTCTTCCTGGTTTAAAACTTTGTATTACTATTTTATCTAGATTTCTTTATACCAGATATCTTGGGCATGGGGAAGGCTCTATGATTTTTACTTGGCAACATGACCACACTCTTAATTTTGAAGACGTTGAAGTAGGTAAGAATGACTTTTAGCACAGAAAATCCACTCTAAATAGAATCACTGCCCCTCTCCCACATTTTAGAGTTGACAAAATACATGAAAATATAATTTTTATATAAGAACATTTTCTCATTTTGTATTTGGAAGATATGGAATTAAAAGTTTTATTAAACAAGTCATACATTATTGAATTTACGTAAGGTAGAAGTGAAAGCTATAGTGTCTCCAGTTTTTCAAATTTAAATTCCTCTGTAATCAGTTTCTTCATTCAAGATGATGAGAGACAGGGTACACACTCTCCTACCCACCTCACATTCTTAGCATATAGCAGTATAGATCATTCTCATGAGTCAGACTTGCTGCTGTGACTAGACTTAGAGTCAGAATCAACGTGAGATGGAGATATGAAATGGAGATAACAGGATGGATGATTAGATTTCAAAACAATGAATCCAGATATTTTTCTCATTTTTATCCCCAAATTGATTGATGGTCTTATCTCCTGCTTACTGTTCAAATCTTAACATATCTTATTTATCCCTAAAAGTCCAGTATACATATTTTCTTCTCAAAGCCATTTATGGAGGACCGAGTTCACTGGGACCTACTACTCCTGGCTCCTAAAGCAGGCACTGTCTCTTCCTGGTGTAAAGTGGCTAGAGCTTACGCTCTTCAATCAAATCTCTCGCTCTTACACCCTAGCAAGCCTATTCACCAGCTATGTGACCTAGGACACTTTTCAGAAGCTGCTTGTTTCTCAGTTTCTTCATCTGTAAAATGAGGATGATAATATGACTTACCAAGAGTTGTGGTGAGAATATCCCATAAAGTAGAACTTGGCACACAGTAAACATTAAACATCCAATGATGTTAGCTAATGTTATTTTACATCTAATAATATTCCAAGGTGTATGTCCTTTTACATAACTTGGCTACAAACGCCTTGAAATCAGTTTAAATATTCATACTTCTGGGTCTGGTGCCCAGTGCCCCCGCAGAGTACGGTGAACAGATCAGATGCCAAGCCAGCATTAGTCAACTGATACTTAGCAGTGGTTTCTTGTTTCTTTAAGACAGGGAATAAATTACAGGTGAGTATATAGTGGAATAGGTTTTGGAAATGTAGCTCAGGGACATGCTAAATGCCAGATATGCAGACTACATTAGGCCAGAGCTGAGTACACCTGCATCTGAGTTCCTCCCTCGAAAGTTATAACCTGTGCATTTGAGACAAAAGGTCTTCCCTAGCTCATTCTAGTTGTGCCTATTTGAAAGAGAAGACAAAAATAACTCAAATTTAATTCTTGTCACAAATGTATACATTACAACAAGTACCTCTTGGTTTCTACATATTCTCCTCCTAATAAGTATACCAGCATGAGCATAATCTCTTTTACTCACATTTTTGCCAGTGAATCCACAGAAACACTGCAAGATGTCAGCATTTCTTATGCTCTTAAAACATTTGTTTTTCTCTTATCAGAACAGAAAACATGAGAGCAGATGTTTTGAAAGTCCACAGCCCAAATGAAAGTTCATGAAGTTCCCCTGATGGTCCCAACCTGTAGAAGTGACGTTTGATAAAGTGGCCGGAGAAGCCTAATGATGATCAAAAGCTGAAAAGCACAGGTAAGAGGAATGAAGCAACAGAAATGAGAGTAACATAAACTTCACTATACAAGAGAGTAAGAATGAAATGCTCTTCTACACACACACAGATACAGACATCAGCACACACCCTCAAAAATGACTGAAGCCTGGAGACAGTTGTTTCCAGCAATAATAATTGTAACTACTTGGTAAGCTCTAATTAGGTATGAGATACTTACATGATGAATCTGCAATTCTTAAAGCAGTCTTCAAGGAAGCTGCTGTTATCTTTATCATATAAAGTTGACAATAAAGCTCAGAGAGCCTGCTCAGGCCATGATTCTAGCACATGGCTGAGGCTGGTGCCACTTAGGCAGCTCCTGTTCCATGCAGCACATAGATCTGCATCCCACTTGGCACCTTCACACTGAGTCATCCTTTTACTTCCATTGTATGTGATTTACAGATCCACCCACAAATAGTTTAAAAAATAAATGGCTACATTTAGTCAGTGTTTCCATTATTCTAACAAGAACCTATTCAAATGCCCCAGGGACCATCAAGCTATCCTAGACTACCTCACCAAAGCCCTATACTATATATACGCACACACACATACATATGTATTCACATCCATATCTGTATCCCTGTGTCTATCTGTATGGTTTGTATTAGTCCATTTTCACACTGCTGATCAAGACATACCCAAGACTAAGATGAAAAAGAGGTTTAATTGAACTTGCAGTTCTACATGGCTGTGAAGGCCTCAGAATCATGACGGGAGGCAAAAGGCACTTCTCACATGGCGGTGGCAAGAGAAAAATGAGAAGGATGAAAAAGCAGAAATCCTTGATAAACCGTCAGATCTATGAGACTTATTCACTACCATGAGAACTGTATTGGGAGAAACTGCCCCCATGACTCAATTTACCTTCCACCATGTCCCTCCCACAACACATGGGAATTATGGGAGTACAATTCAAGTTGAGATTTGGGTGGGGTCGCAACCAAACCATATCATCATCTATTATCTACTTAATTCTCTGAGGCTGTTTATTCCTTGTCTTTGCCATTATAATCTGTCTCATCACCAAAACTATAAACTATTCACATCCATCTTTCACATAGTATCGGACAACAATGGACACGAGTTTTATATATATATATATATATATATATATATATGTATATATGTGTGTGTGTGTGTGTGTGTGTGTGTGTGTATATATATGTATATATAAATTGTTTTCAAAACCTAACATGTATTAAATAATAGCACTATACACACACACATACACATATACATAAAGACACACACAGGTGTGTGTGTGTGTGTGTGTGTGTGTGTGTGTATAGTTAAAATAATGACAGTATCCCCCTCTATATTTTAGGGATGCTTACTTTTCCATGAGCAATTCTGAAGTGTTCTCAATAATAACAACATAGACACAAAACTATGAGTGGTATTCTCAGTAAGAAAATTAGAAGCTGCCAATGTTAGAGAAAAAAGAGGTTACAAAAAAAGAAGAGGTCATAAGATAAAAATAGCAAGATAATGTGAACATATTTAAATAAGTAAGGCCCAATGAAAATCATTCCAGATATTTAAAAAAATATCAGGAACAATGTTAGGCTGTGAGAAATTTGTTTTAGAAAATTCATGGAGAACAAACGAGGCCCAAGGCCTGTAGGAAAACAACTTGATGAAGATGAGAGTTTAGGTAGAGAGACAATGGTGAATGCAAGACACATCTAACAAATGTAGTGTCTGTACTTAAGAAACCACTTTTCCTACCAATAAAGATGATGTTTTCCAAATCACATAAACCAACAAACGTTATTTAATCTAATGTAAAAATATTATCCACACTTCATCAAATAATCACGATAATAGCTTTTTTTACACTTAAATTTTCATTACCATTAATCTTGATTGTTCTTAAAAGTCCTTGAGAAAAAATGAAAAGCAGACTTGAAATATCAGTAATGATCAGTAGCAGCTGACATTTGTATAGCACTATTAGACGTAATATTCAGAAGAAGACAAAGTCAGAACCTTCATACAAATGTAAAATTCATACACATTAAACTTTTGACTTTCCTTATATGAGGGATCAAAGAAGATGTTATCATCAGCTCAAAGGAAAAGTAATTATGTATACATAAACACACACACACACACACATATGTATAAAGGAAAAGAGTTACAAATGAATACTAAACTTTTTTTTTTCAAATACAGAAACAGAGAAAGTCAATGGACACTTTTTGAAAAAGATAGAGTTTGCCTATCTATGTGTTCCTTACAGTTAATAAATAGGTGCAAAATGCAGGCATACGTCATTTTATTGTGTTTACTGCACTTCACAGATACTGTGATTTTTACAAATTGAAAGTTTTTGGTACTCCTACATCCAACAAGTCCACCAACATAATTTTTCCAACATCACATGCTTACTTTGTGTCTCTGTGTTAGCATTTTTTAACAATAAATTAAATTTTATTAAGCTATATGCATTATCATTTTAGACGTAATAGACACTTAAAAGACTACAGTATAATGTAAATATAATGCTTATATGCACTGGGAAACAAAACAGTGCCTCTTCAGATTTGAAAAACTCCTTCCATAAAACTCATCAATACTAACTTGTCAAATAAACTTACTTATTTCTGGCACCTGTTTGTTTTTTTTATAAGATAGAACAAATCTTTGTGGTTTTTAAAAGAGACTTCTAAAAAGATCTCGAAGATACTTCAGGTGCAAAAAATATCATGTGAGTTTAATTTAATGAAATTTTACATTCAAAATTCATTTCTAGGAAGAAGGAAAGAAAACAGTTGTCAGGAGATCTGACCTCACAAGATAGAAATAATACTGGTCTACCTATTTAAAAGCGACAATAAAATATTTTAAAATAAATATAGAAAGTAACATGATTTTAAAGAACCTTGGCTCTTTCATAAGTGAAGAGTTTTTGTTTTCTTAAATAATCAAGGACATAATAAAATAAGCATAAAGCCCAGAAAATTATCTTGCTAGAACACAAAATCTGTGCAGATTACACAGAATTACATATCATAGTTTAAGGCAATACAAAAAGAAAAAAAGCAAACCCACTAAAGCTGAACAGACTTTGTTAAGATTTTCACATATTTCATAGTTTTAGGGTTCACTGTGCCTTTTTGTCACATTGTAACTCTTTCAGTATTTCCAACACTTTTATTATAATTATATTTGTTATGGTGATCTGTAATCAGTGATCTTTGATGTTACTATTTTAATTGTTTGGGGCATCGTGAACCATACCTTTATAAGACAGCAAACTTAATTGACTCGACAAATACCGTGTGTGTTCTGACTACTATACTGACCTGTTGTTTCCTTGCCTCTCTCCCTCTCTTCAGAACTCCCTATTTTCTGAGACACAACAGTATTGAAATTAGGCCAATTAAGATCCCTACAATTGCCTCTAGGAGTTTAAGCAGAAAAGGGCATACATTTTTCATTTTAAATCAAAAGCTACACATTGGGAGGCCAAGGTGAGAAGAAGGCTTGAGGCCAGGCATTCAAGTTCGGCCTGGGTAATAGAGGGAGGCCCTCATCTTTGCAAAACTAAAAAAAAAAAAAAAATCACCTGTAGTCACAGCTACTTATAAGGCTGAGAGGGAAGTGCAGCTTGAGCACAAGAGTTCAAGGCTACAGTGAGCAATGGTTATACCATTGCAGTCTGGACTGGTTAACAGAGTGAGGTTCTGTCTCTGAAATAATTAAATATAAACAAATAAAAAGCTAGAAATGGTTAAACTTAGTGAGAAAGGTCTGCTAGAAGCTGAGATAGGCCAGAAGTTCAGATTCTTGCACCAAACTGTTAGCCAAGTTGCAAATGCAAAGGACAAGCTCTTGAAGGAAATTGAAAGTGCTACTCCAATGAGCATGCAAATGATCAGAAGGCAAAATAGCCTCATTGCTGATGTGGAAAAAGTTTTAGTGGTCTGGATAGAAGATCAAACTGGCCACAACAGCTGGTCTAATTAAGCCAATGTCTAATTCAGGGCAACACAGGTCCTAACTCTCCTCAGTTCTATGAACACTGAGAGAGATGAGGCATCCGAAAAAAGAAAACACCTGAAGCTGAGATTGATTCTAGAAACTGCAGCAAATTATCAAGAAGATCTAGCGAAGATAATTGAAGAAGGTGGTCACACTAAACAACAGATTTTCAATGTTGACAAAACCAACTTCTATTGGAAGAAAATGCCATCTAAGGCTCTCATAGCTTGGGCGGACAAGTCAATGTCTGGTTTCAAAACTTCAACACCAAGCTGACTCTCCTGTTAGGGAATAGTGCAGCTAATGACTTTAGGTTAAAGCCAAAGTTCATTTTTCATTTCCTAAATCCTAGGCCCTTTAAGAATGAAGCTAAATCTACTCTTTTTGTGCTCTATAATTGGAACAGCAAAGCCTGGATAACAGCACACCTGTTTAGATAATGATTTACTAGATATTTAAGGCCCACTATTTATATCTACTGCTCAGAAAAAAAAAAAGAGATTTCTTTAAAAATATTGCTGCTTGTTCATTATGTACCCAGACACCTAAGAGCTCTGATGGAGAGGTACAAGAAGATTAATGCTGTTTTCACACCTGCTGACACAACCCCCATTCTGCCCACCATGGATCAAGAAGTCATTTCAACTTTCAAATCTTATTATTTAAGAAATACATTTTATAATGTGATAGGTGCCATGGCTAGTTATTCCTCTGATGAATCTAGGCAAAGTAAATTGAACACCTTCTGGAAAGGATTCACAATTCCAGATGCCATTAAGAACATTCATGAATCATGGGATGAGGTGAAAATATCAACATTAACAGGAGTTTGAAAGAAGCTGATTTCAACTCTCACAGGTGACTTTGAGGAGTTCAAGACTTAAGAGGAGGACATAACTGCTGATGCGATGGAAGTAGAAACTAGAACTAGAAGGGATGCCTAAAGATACAACTGAATTGCTATAATCTCATGATAAAACTTGAACAGATGAGTTGCTTCTCATGAATGAGCAAAGAAAGTGGTTTCTTGAGATGGAATCTACTCCTGTGAAGATGGCTATGAACATTATTGAAAAGACAACAAAGGATTTAAAAGGTTACTTAAGCATAGTTGATAAACCAGTTGGCAAGGCTTGAGAGGAATGACTTCAATTTTGAAAGAAGTGGGTGAAGTGCTATAAACAGCCTCACATGCTACAGAGAAATCTTTCATGAGTGGAAAAGTCAATTGATGTGGAAAACTTCATTGTTATCTTATTTTAAGAAATTGCCACAGCCACCTTAACCTTCAGTAACTACCGCCCCTGATTAGTCAG